AAGGGGAAGCGAGGCACTTCGCATCGGCAGGGTTCTGCAACCGGCGTGGGGGTGGTCCTTCCCCACCGCTCGCTCAGCCGAGGTTCTTCCCGCCTCAAAGGTAACGCATGCTTCCAGTAAAGCACTCTGACGACGGTGGAGGATGGTCTGTGCTGAGAAGTTAGACCCCTTCTCACTGACCCACCAACACGTCAAGCCCCCCCCCCCCCGAACCCGTGTGACCAATTCCTTGTGTCACCTCCTGGCTGTCCCTAAGTGCAAAACACGCATATTCCTGGTTGTACCGACAAAGGCGGCAGGACACAGCGTGTGCTGTGGCTTCCTTACTCGCTTACCTCTGCATTTTGAACGTCTTTCCATGTTACTAAAGATCACCCAATCCTCGTTTCTTTTAAAAAAAGTTAGTTTTATCTATTTATTTGCAGGGTGAGATAATTTGGTTGACTTTTTGTTTTTCTTGGATGGAGGTACTGGGGGTTGAACCCAGGACCTTGTGCATGCTAGGAATGCGCTCTGCCACTGAGCTGTCCCTCCCCCCATCTCTTTTTTAAGGCAACTGCTTATGCAAACGAAAGGCCCTAAGCAAGAACTGGCTGAGGGCTGTTGGCCACTTAGTAGCAAGAAGAGACCACAGAGGAAAGTGGAAAGAGTAGCAGACAGATCAAGCTCGGGTTCCAGCATGCTTGCTGTGCCAAATTTGAGATTTCTCTACCTCTCTGGGCTCAGATGACACATCAAAAAAAAAAATGCGGATTATACTTGATGTAACTCACAGATCAGAGTAATAGTTACTCAAGAATTGCAGCTCTTCTTAAATAAATGGAGAGACATCCCATGTTGATGGATTAGAAGCCTCAGTGTTCTGAAGAATGAAGCAATTCTCCCCAAATTGATCTACAGATGTATCTCATCCCCCATCAATATTATCTTAGGGCCTCTGATTTAGACCTGGGCTGACCCTGCCTGACAGACAGGGGTTCTGAGTTCTGAAGTTAAGTCAGACAGAGAAAAACAAGTACCATACAGTATCACTTATACGTGGAATCTAATAAAAAATGACACAAATGAACTTATTTACAAAACAGAAAGAGACTCAGATGTAGAAAACAAACTTATGGTTGCCAGAGAGGAAGGGGGAGGGACAGATTAGGAGTTCAGGATTAGCGGACACAAACCACTGTATATAAAATAGGTAAACAACAAAGTCCTACTGTTTAGCACAGGGAACCATATTCAAACTCTTGTAATGGAAAATAATCAGAAAAAGAATATATGTATGTATAACTGAATCACTTCGCTGTACATCTGAAACTAACACATTATAAATCAACCATACTTCAGTAAAAAAATTTTTTAAAGTGATGCTCATGTGCACGTTTATTTAAGAGGTAAACAAAAATACCTAAAAGTATATTTATCAGGATCCCACTTTTGTTGCTGTTGTTTTGTTTTTTGTTTCTTTTTTTTTACAAAATACATATAACACGATTCTCTGTGTGTGTGTATATGTACATTTCTGGGATAAGATACAGATGTATTGAGACAGTTGCTGAATAATGAGATTTCTCGTGTTTTCTTGTTCTTGTACATCACTTTTCTTTCCTAGTTCTCTAAATGCAAATGCATTAAATACAAAGAAATAATAAAGTGAGATAAAGTAAAACTTCATTTCCATTGAAAATATTTTGTGAGAGGGGAGGTGGGAAGGATGTACCTTTAGCACAAACCAGACTGTGCCCTGATACGAAGGGCATGACCTCTGCCGAGTGACTTCACTTTGGGCCTCAGTTTCCTGAGTTGCACAATGTGCAGGAGAAATTCTACTTCACCAGGTGATTCTGAGGAAGGAACCCCATTTCCCATTTATCTTCAGCAAATGAAAGCGTCTCACCCTGGGATCCTTCCTGAGCCCCGTCACTTCTCTGATCTCTGTAAATTACAGGCCTTAATGTTGGCACTCAGCACTCAGCACCACCTGGTATTAATATGGACTAAGCAGTTAGACACACTTGTGGGTGAGGGCCCCGTCTTGCTTGCAAGGGGCCTGCAGTGTCTGGAATGAGCCTGGGATTCTGTGCGGTCCTCCACTCAGAGACTCTGGGAACCGGTCTCTGGAGAGAAGGATGCTCACGTGAACACGTCTATGTGTCCCTCTCTCACATTTCCGGGACCGAGTGCATAGATGTCTGTCTGCAAACACTTGGGAAGTAAGAGGTGACCCTGTGAGAACCGTGCTGGGCTGTTTGGGAGGAAATTTGCATTAAAACGAAGAGGCTGGAACATATTTGGGAGACTAACCTTTTGACTTCCTTTGGTGGCAGGTTAGGTAACTGATCTTAAGAAAGTTCTTGAGTAGCACGATGGGAAAGTGTGAACCGGGCTTCTTTTGGGGAAGTTATCTGGGCATTCAGGCCTGGGATTTTCAACCGCTCACCACCCCACCCCACCCCACCCCTCCGAGCCAGGCCGGCATTGAGCGGCGTCCCCTGCCCTCTAGTGGTCTCTCCTGGAACTGCCTCCCAGGAGGCCGCGTCACAGGGGCGGGAAAGCTCACCTGTCCCCACCTGCGCCTTACCGGGGAGCCAACCTCGGCCTGTTTTTCAAGGCTTTTTGGCCCTTCTGTCTCTTAACAGTGTGTTGTTTTCACAAGGGCCCCTC